GCATAATAATAGCAAGATCCTAGGCATGATACTAACAATATTAATAACAAACCCTAACATGTCACTAAACAATAAAGATTAAAGCTTTAACCCTAACATGATACTAACATGCTATTAGGAAAGAAAATAGGAAGCATCATAGAAATCATAATTGATATAAGCAAATCACCCTATAAATATCATACTAAATAAAGCATCCTAACATGATACTAGGAACATCCTAAACATGATACTAGGAATCAATTAAACATCCTAATATGATACTAGGAATCAAAATAACAATCTAAGCATGAATTCTATATCATAAAATAAATAAATCAATTAAAGCACTTACTTGGATGCTTCATATCTCTTTCTAATAACAAAATACACATGTTAGTAACTTCAAGGAAAATAATAAACAAATAATTAGATTAAATAATTGAAATAGAGATTTGGGACCAAGCCCTCAGAAATATCAAACCTTTCACGTCTAGGGAAAAGGCAACTTCGAATTATGCTAGGTGTTTCTTGGTCTTGTGAATGTGAAATTTTGTTTGAGAGAAGGCTAGTTTAGAAAAGAGAAAGAGAGAACAAGCTTTAGCTTAGAGAGAGAAGAGAATTAGAGAGTTGTTAGAGAGAATTGATAGTTGATGATTGAAAAAAGGGAGATATGACCTCTATTTATAGAGAAAAAAGAGGGTCGAAGAATAAGAAGAGAATCCGAATTCGAATCGAAATAGAACTCGATGGACAGCAGTTTTTGCGGATTTTGTTTTTATCATATCTTTTGATCTAGAAGTCCAAATAAGGCATATAATATGTCGTTGGAAAGATCTTGAAGTCTAATTTCCATCACAATTTAAATCAAATTAAAATGTTTTGTAGATAAAAAGATATGGCCGAAAAAGGTGAAGGGTATCAGTTTTGGATAGAGTTTCATGTCTAATTCATATCTTTTTCGTTATAGCTCAGATTTAATATTATAATATATCATTGGAAATATAATTTCAAGATCTATCCAACCATATAAAATTTGGATAAATATTATGAGGTACGAAAATAATATCTGACTGTCTTTAAACATCTTTAAATTCGAATAGAATTAGGATTTAAGAAAAAAGAAAGTTTTAAAAAAGGAAAGTTTTTATTTAACTCAAATTCTTTAATCTTATCTTTTCAAAAAGGATAATTAAGATATTTTAAAAACTTATGGAAGGTTCTAACTAATTTTTATTAGTTTAGGAATAGGATTAGACTTTTGGACCCTCCACATGATCATTCGGTCGTAGGTAAAATCCGGTTTGGGCCTAGTTTAGTATTTTGGCCATAACTTCTTCCTCATTATTCATCGGAATTGGGCATATAATATATCGTTGGAAAGGTCCTTTCAAGCCCTATACAACTACACTGTTATTGGACCCTTATCATGGACCAAACTAAATTGGAATGCACGTTTTTCATAAATAAGGTAAGAAAAGAAATATTTTCAAAAACAGAAAGAAGAGATATTTTAATAAAAACATCCTCATCACTAGACTTTTCACACTTTCGCTTTGTTCGATAATCAAATGACATGAAAGGTATTCATCACTGGGTTTGATTTTGGGGAGACACATTTGGGTGTCTACAAATACCCATGATTCAGAGAAACGATTTAATTCGAGACAAATTTGTATAACATTAAACCCTAAATCATAGAATGAAATTGAAAAATTAAAACCCAATAAATTTTAATACCTCGAATAATAATGGTAGAGATGAGTAGAAGCAAGACCTTGATGGAATGGTAGGAGGTGGACTGCTAGAATCCGGCGCCGACACCGGCAAGCAGAGCCGTAACGAGGAGTCGAGGAGAGGACCGAGTCACTGTTCAGACTTTTAATATTTTGAGGAGAGAGAAAAAATTTGGGGAAAATTCTAAATTTTTTTATAACTTTTTTTACTTTTAATTTTTTTTAGTGACTTTACTGACTAAGTGACTTATTGTCACGTGACTATGTGATTGGAATTGTTTTTTAATTAATGTTTAAAAAAAAAATTAAAGTCATTGGAAATTGGGGAGAGTGGGGGACAATACACTCACAATGGCAGGGCATTAATGTAGCAAGACTAGCAACGGTAATATGGAGTTAAAATATAAAGGGGTTTTTTTTTTTTTAATAAACGTAATTTTTTTTTAAAAAAAAAAACCTGTTAGGGCACGTGCCCCACCAGGACATGAACTACCTCCACCACTGTTCCCTCTCTTTTGGGGACTGATTTCCAGCCCAAAAAAAAGGGACCACTTTTTTTCATTTTTTTCCCACTCACTTTAACCCACTCAAACACTTAAACACATGGGACCACTACTTTCCCTCCTTTTTTACAACTTAATTAAACCCACCCATAAGTAATTAAATAACACTAAATTTTTTGCCTAGGAGTCCATAAAAACTTGGTTTGGTGCAAATAATTGTGGGCGGAGGGAGTATAATATTGTAGATACTTGTTGGGATCGTCTCAATGAATAATTTATTAATATTCAACTATTCTAATTTATTTATTGATAATTAAAAATATTATCAATTAAGTGTTGCATTAATATGTGTATAGGGGAAACGTTACACTTATTTAAAAATAGAGTGAGTAATTTTTATCATGTATTTTACTTGCAACACGACTAGAAATTTAAGAATACAAACTAATCTATCTCTTTTTTTTCTTTTTCTTTTTTTTTCTTTTTTTTTTGAAAAATTTGTCAAAAACAAGTCACCTTTGCATGGTTTGCTCAAAATAAGTCAACATTTTGATTAACTAAAAATAAGTCAATCTTTATAAGATATTTTCCCAAAATGAGTTATGACCTATTGATGTTAGGGGTAACCTGTTATTTAGGTTAACTATGCCATGTGTCCTCATATGGTTGGGTTCATTTCAAAATTTAAATAATTTTTTTTATTAGAATAAAATTTTAAATACCTCAGCCCCCCGTCGAAGAGCAGTCCTCCTGCTGGATCACATCAGTCGAAACCTTTGCCGATGCTAATACCTTTATATCTTTCCCTTCCCACCATTACCTTTACTCCTATCCTCTCTCTATAATTTTTTTTTTTTTTAAGAATTTATGGACGGGGCAATTTTTGGATGGGTATTAGCCTATTAGGTTTTGAGGGTGAATTTTTCAAGTGGGTAATGGTGGTTAGGTCGGTTTTAGGGTAGATATAGTGATAAGTTGGTGTTTAGTGTGGGGATTCGAGGTGGGTATGGTGGTTTAGAGGTGGGTTTAGGTGTGGGTCTATAGGTTTAAGTTAGTTTCGACCGACTAAGCCCGGTGTATAGGGAGGGGGAAGGGAAAGGGGTCAGGGTGGAGGAAATTGGCGGTCGGCCGACGCTTTGGGAGGGGAAGAGAAAGGGGTAAGGGGTGGAGGTTTAGCGGTATGATGGCAGAGATAGAAAAAAAACAGGGGGTAAAGGAGGTGGTCCTTGCGGTGGCAGGCAAGGCGCGTAGTGGTGTGGATAGTGACGGGGGTGAAAAGATTTTAATTCATTAATTAAATAAATAATTTTTAATTAAAAAAATGGAAGAAAATGACTTGTTCAATAGGCTGTACGTCATTTGACCTATTCAAAGAAAATACCTTTTAAAAGTTAACTTATTCTTGGTTAATTGAAAGATTGACGTAATTTGAGCTAACCACGCAAAAGATTGGCTTATTCTTAACAAAATTTCTTTTTTTTAATAAATGCAACACTTTGACTTTTACACTATTTACATACCATGTTTGACTTAATTATTTTATTATTATAAAATAAATAGGAAAAATATACTTTAATAATCCCAACTTTGCCTAATTTACTTTAAATAATCCCAACTTTTGATTATTATGTAATAATCTCACACTACAACAAATCATCACTTGTGCCACGTATTATGCCACGGGAGTTCAAAATTCGTGGCATAATTTCATCTAGCCACGGGAAAAATAAACAATGAACAAAACCTAAATAAGATAAATAACTTATGTCACGGGTATTTATTTTCCCGTGGCAAATACTTCACTTGTGCCACGAGTAGCGCATTTCCCGAGGCAAACTATACATTTGTGCCACGATCAACTCTTTTACCGTGGCAAACTTTACATTTCTACCACAAATACTTTTTTTTTGCGGCAAAGTTTACACTAGTGTATACAATAACTTTACTAAGCTAAGAATACATATTTACATGACAATTAAATTAAACATCATGAATTAACTATGATACTTCAATATTTTTTTATATATATATTTTTACTTCTTAAATTGAAGATATTTGAAATACCATGTATAAGTACTAATTGAGTAATTGATACAAAGTAGAATATTAAACATAATACAATACAAAATAGAGGTCGAATATATTTATATACTACGTACATGATCTATTTTTGTATAGATATCCTTTAAAACACGATCTATGTATCACTAGTTAGTAGTAGAAAAATTTTAAAAAACACAAAAAGAATGCACGAATATTATAAAAACTTCGGTCCTTATTATAGTTAGGAAGTTCAAATCTCATGATAAGAGGGCGTTATTTTTTTTTAATTTGTCTTATATTATATGTATGATCTATTTTTGATAAACACTTAAGGGACGCATTGTCAAGTGCATATCACTAGTCACTAGTAGAAATATTTTTAAAGATGACACCTCAAGAATGCACTAGTTTTATAAAAATCTCAATCCCTATAATTTAAAATTATACCTAACTCTTTTTTTTTTAGTTGACACATTTCTTTTTAGAAATTTATTTTTAGTTGACATGTTTTTTGTTTGGGTACGTTTTTATACCTTACATTTATTAGTGCACCCCACTTGCTTTATCATTCTTACTCCTCAATATATGTGACTAAATTGAACGTGTCAACTAAATAGAAACAAAGTATTAAAACTACATGACTAGAGGCACATTAATTTTTTGTTAATTTTTTTGACACAGTCTTTCTTAGTATTCATATTGGGGCTTTAGTCTTAAAACTAAGAAATCGATCCACCGCAACAATAATTGAGAGGGGAATAGAATCTAACCACCTAGAACGATCTCCGAATCTAGAGCATTCCAATTCCCAAAGGATGGAACTGTAATGAAAATTAAAGTAACCCAAGTAAGGGTGTCCTCTCTCCTGCTTGTGATTTCATATCACAAAAGCAAGTTCCCTAATCCCCTCAATTGTCACTTTCATCCATCACGTACAACCACCACCTCCATCTCGTCGTCCACTCCATCGATGCCCCTCCGTCGCCGCCAAATCCACATTACCTCCTTCATCTTCGCTGCCCAGTACTCCATTTTCACCCACGGTGCCTTGTTCAGTTCGACGCTCACGCTTGTCTTCATTGAAGATCGGCGACCACCACCAATCGGAAGTATCTACCTCCACTGTAGACTCTTGCACCTAGTCAAGTTAACTCCTTTTCTGTCTCATTCATTTTCAACAATTGAGGAAGGTTAGGGTTTCGATAATTTTTTTTTCTCAATTTGTATCTTTAATTCACTACAATTATTTCTCTCTCCTATTTTGTTATGACTAATTTTTCTGCAGTTTAATTAACTTGGGTTTTGTTATTTGTGTGTGATTCAACTGATTGCGGGGATTTTGGTTTGTTATTTGGCGAATTTCTGATTTTGGGGATTTTTAGTTCATGTTTTCTGGGTGATTTCTTGATTAGGTCTTACATTGCTCAGTTTATCTATTTAATGAACCTGATAATTCTGCAAAGTATTTAGCTTTTATGGAATTTAAGTTTGGTTCTTAGAATTTTATAATAACAACCTGATTATTTTTGTGTTATTATTATGTAATTTTTGTGTGGTAGTTTGAATTTGGTCATATTATATCACATTTTACTTTCTAATTGTCCTGTAAATTGTTATTATCTTTTTTTGTCAAATTTTTGATTTTTATTCTTTCTTTATTTCAGTGTAAATGTAATTATGCAGCAGTAAATTATTGAACAAAAAGCTTATAGAACACCATTGATTTGGTTCTTACGACTCATCCTACTTTATCAATCTGTAGATCTTTGCTTCAGAAACATGGAAGGTCTGCTTTTGAACTACTCTGCTTTTAAAACTTGTAAGGCCACAATCATGATTTTGATATGCTTATTAAGTTAGTTGTTTACTTTATTAGGACTTAGGTTTTTCTTGATTATGCATCCTAATCCTAATTCCCAAAGTTGAGTGGATTGCGTATGGATTATTCTGATATTTATTCTTTATGGACTGATGGGGTTAGGATTCTTGAAAAATGAGATTAAAATTTGATCTCCTTAGAATGATACAATGATACCTGGTGAATTTGGGATCTTCTAAACACTATGTGTTTCTTTCAGTCGTTCATTGTGTCCCTGTTATCTTCCAACATCAGCTAGTAGCCGATCTATCATGCAATCTAATGAAATCATGAAAAATGTTCTGCTGATTGTACCCTTAAAATGTTGTTGAGGCCTATGTCTCAGCTACTTTTCATATTAGCTTACGACTTATAACTGTTTGAGCTTGATAATAATCATTGGTCTGTACTTGAAATCATTCTAATCGACACTACTGTCTAGTACAGGATAGGAACTGGTGGTTGTAAATTTATAAGCAGTGCTGGAGAAACCGAGCTTGAGCTTCAAAGGTTTGTGTGTATCAGTGAAGGTTACAATGCAAATTACACTGTTAATATTGATTAAACATTAAATCATATAGAGCGATTACTTGCCCTATTGTTTCTAGTCTTTCTACTTATAAACCTTGATTTTTTGGGTATAAAAATGTTATTTCTTTTCAATATGTAGCATTAGTTTTGTTTCTTATAATTGTGTAATCAATGCTAATCCTGAAACCAGTGTACTTGCAAAAAATCACACTTTGGAGGAGCTTAATATTTGGAGCCAATTTTTTTTTTTGTATGGAAGTATAGTTTATACTTTCTTTCTTAGTGTTCTATATTCTCCTCCTTGAGTAATGTCTGTTACATTGGCTCATACTCCTTGAGTATATGCAAATATACTTCTTCTGATTGCAATGAACTAAATTTTGGACTTATAATGACTAGATCTCAGAAAGAAGAAAGCACCTATTAGCAGAAATTGAAGAAGTTTGTGCTTTGTAGTGTGCTGGGCAGAGAAACAAAGGTGTTTTAAATACTTCACTGTTGTCGTTGTTGGACGCTGTTGTTGCTCTGTGCTAGACACTACTACTTGCTTATTGTTGTTTCTCTAATCATACTGTACTCTTTGTTTTTTTGAAAGACAATTATAGTGTACTCTAATTGATTTATTACTTCATTTTTTTGGGATGAAAAGTGTAAATTTACAATTTATTAATACAAATATCTAAGTTTTATGCATACATATATATTGTGTCTATTGATCAATTTGGTTGAAAAATGCAAAATAATATATATATTTATATATTGAGAGAAAGAGAGAGATAATTAGTCACGGTAATATGTGGCAACATTGTTTATTAGCCACGGTAATATTTGTGGCCAATAATATGTTAGCCACGTTAATATTCGTGGCAAGTGAATTTGTTTGCCACGTGAATATCCGTGACATAAAAATTAAAATTTTCCATGACATCCATTTTCTCGTGGCAAATTCCTAGCCACGGCCTCTTGTGCCACGGGAGTAAATTTCAAAAATCCTATGGCTAAATATTATAGCCACAGAAATTTTAAACTTGTGCAACGACTTTACCCATGGCACAAAAGTCAATTTGTTTTAGTGTCAGTTTTTACCCATGTTTTCTTTCTTCAATCCCGATTATCGGTAACCTAAAGAAAAGGTTATTTTTTTTTCAAAACAAATCATCTTCCACGTGTTAGCATTTTTTGGCTAAACTATTTTTGAACAAATATTAAATTAACTTAATTTTTTTTGAACCAAAATGAAACTAAATTTACAAAAAAAAATCTATAATATATAGTAAAGTAATTAGCAAAGGGGACACTTGGCATTATTTTGTGAGAAATTTTCTCTCCAAAATGCTATTTATTTTTAATTTTATTAAAAATATAATAAAATTATTTTAATAAATTTTATTTTTATGTATAGGTAACATATAAGAATTTAAAGGGCATGCAATGATAAATTCAAATTTCAAAAAACAAAAAAAAAAGTATTACATAAATCATTTAATTTCAATCCGTGCATTGCACAGGGCATAATATTTTTTAAAATAATAAATAAATAAAACACTAGCCACCACGCTGGTGGCCACCCCTTTCCCGAGCCGACCATCACCACCCCTGAATCACTTACTTTGATCCCCAAACCAATAAATCCGACTTCCCTCCCTTCCCCCACACAGGATAACTTCCTCTCATCCACTTTATTAGCAATTTTCGACATATGGAGGAGAGAGAAAGTGAGGGGTTTGTGTTTTTGGAGATTTTGGGGGTGGAGGGGAGGTGGTTTCAATTCGATAGTTGCGATTGTGGATAAGGGTGGTTTTCGGGGTGGGGGAGAGGAGGAGGACGGTTTTGGGTCGAGGATTGGTTAATGGCTGTTTCGTGGGCAGAGTTTTGATCATTGGTTGTTTTAGGGGTGGGGGAGGAAGGGGGCGGTTTGGGGGTTGGGAGAATGAGGGGGGTTGTTTCTTATGTAGTGCGGCAGGAGAGGAGGTGGTTTTGTGGGTAGGGCTAGAGCTGTCAATTCGGGTAAACGGGTTGGGTTTGGGTCGGGTAAATGTGGGTCAGATCATCTTGAGTCGGGTCAATTCGAGTTAATGTCATAACCTATGCGGGTCGGGTTTGGATTGGGTCATACTAAAGTTGGTCACGTCTGGTCAAACATCTTATCGTGTTTGGGTCGGGTTTAGGTCGGTTAATAACAGGTCGGGTTACATTTGGGTCGGGTGAATAATAGGTTGGGTTTAATTCGGGTTATCACTAGTTAAAATGGGTTAGAGTCATTCTCGGGTTTGAGTCGAGTTTGGTTCAAGTTAATAATTTGCGAGTTATAATCAAGCCGGATCATTCTCGGGTTTAAGTCTGGTTCGCTTCAAGTCAATAATTTGCGGGTTATATTCAAGTCGGGTCATTTCTAAAACGGGTCATTCTTGGGTCCAATTCGAGTTTGATTTAAGTCAATAATTTGCGAGTTCGGTTCAAGTAAAGACAAAATACTTTCAATATTAACATAGAGTAGTTTTAGCCTTACGAAATTATGGCTTTACAAGTAGATTACATTATAAATAACATATATCTTTATTTAGCTAGTCAATATCTACAATAATAATGATGTACAAAGTATAAAATAATAAGTCGAGTTGATTTCGGGTTGGGTCAATAACAAGTCATGTTGAACTCGGGTCATGTTTGTAACAGTTCGGGTTGATCAATTTTTAGTCGGGTCAATAACAGATCAGGTTAAATTTGAGTCAGGTTAGGAATAGGCCGGGTTGAATTCAGGTCAGGTTAGTAAATGGTTGGGTTAAATTCGGGTTTTGATAAGTTAAAACGGGTTTGGATCAATTTCGGTTCAGGTCGAGATCGGTTCAAGTCAATAATTTACAGGTTATATTCCGGTCGGGTCATCTCCAAGTCGGTTCATGTTTAGGTTTGGGTCTTAAATACTCGGGTTAACTCGGGTCTAGGGTTGGTGTTAGGTCGGGTTAGATTGGGTTCGGGTCACCATTTCTCCGGTTTTAGACGGGTCGGTTAATAATCGGATTTGAGTCGATAATTCAGGTCGTGCAGCTGTTATTTTATATGTATTTTTATATGCTATTTTATCCCCCATCCCACGGTTATTTTTATGCATATTTGAGCTCTTTGGAGCTACTTTTAGTACTCATGTGTGGTTTCAAGTGTTTTGTAGAGTTGACATTTGTTTTGTAGGAATTTCCCAGAATTGTCGCTAATTTCTATTAATTTTGCGGCAATTATGAGATATAGAAACTTTTGTCACATTCATGACTGTTGATCCTAGCCCAAGACTGATCATATCGGTGATTAAGGGCTTCTTTCGTGGAATTGGTTCGACATATGGACCAAGGAAGGAGAATAATTGGGCCACACAAGTAATTGTAGCCCAAAGGAAAAGGAAGAAAGAGCTTTAGCTAAGAAAAGACTGGGCCCGATCAGGCGGATGCCCAGATTGCAGAGAAGAGGAAAATGGCGGGCCCGATCGGGTAGCCCTTCACCCGATCGGGCGTGTATATTCTAGGCCTCCGGGGTGGTTTAGGAGTCGTTTTAGCTCATTTTTAGCTTAGTATTTAAGCTCTTTTTGTAATCTTTATTAGCTACGTTTTTCCATTATTACTTCTTTGATACTCAAAACTTCTAGAGAGATTCTTAGTTGGTGATTATTGTTGAACTCAAGTTTTCCCCTTTTAGTGCAATTTCATATTTCCTTCATTCGGTATTATATCTTGTCTCTTTTATCGCTTTATTCATTTCCTTGATTTTAATTGTTTTGTTAATTTGTGTTTTGATATTAATCATGTCTTATTCATATGCTTTGATTAGTTTAGATTTAAATAGGTTTAATTCTAGGGTTCTTGGGGGATCCATAATTAATATGAAGGGATAATTTATTATTATTGACTATTGATATTGCATGATAATTTCTTATTGAATTGTTTTAATTCTTTACAATTAGATTATGAATCAAACAGATGTGAATTGGTTGTAAAAGTATAGCAATATTGAATTGATGAATCAAGCAGATGTTAATTTGATATTAAAGGCTATTTTCAATAGGAACTTAGATCTAGTAAATTGCGAGAGCCTATTAGATTTATATTGATTAAAAAATTGGTAGAGCCTATTAATCATGTTATATGTGCAATATTAATTGTTGATTGTTATGTTTTATCCCGGAGTATTAATTATTGGTGAACCTGTGACCTTAGGCTTTTTATTATTGATGTCTCCTTAATTATTCTCCTTAGTTTAATTCTCTTAAAAAATAATTTAGGGCTTGTTTGGCATCAGTTTTGGTTTTCAGTTTTTTTTGAAAATCAAAAACCAAAAACAGGAAACAAGAAAAAGGTGTTTCCACTTTTCTGTTGTCAGTTTTCTAAATTATCATAATTTTGATAAGTTTATATAATTTTTGATTCATTATGGGACACATATCATAAACCTTTAAAAAAAAAAAACCGAAAACACAGAAAACCACAGCAATGCCAAACGAACCCTTAGTTACTTAATAGTTTAGTTTATATTAATTAATTAGGAATAGAAAGACTTGTGTCCCTGTGGATTCGACCCTACTTCCCTATCTACTTTAGTTAGAGGCTTAGGTAATACTTTTGATTAGGTGATACGACTTTAGCCTATCAAAATTTAGCGCCGTTACTGGGGAAACTGTTTTATTTTTATTTCTAATCGTTTTTGTAGTGTAGATTATTTTCCTTCGTCTTAGAGAACGCAAGTTCTTTGGGATAGTTTCTCATATTTGTTTGTTTAGTTTTGTGTTTAAGCCTAAGAGTTCTAGATTAGGCTACTGTAGACACCAGTTTGTGTCTCCCCAAAACCAAACCCGGTGATGAGTACCTTTCACATCGAATCATAATTGAATGAAGTGAAAGTGTGGAAAGTCTAGTGTTGCGGATAGTTTTAATTTCTTCTCTCTATTTTTGAAAACCTATTTTAAGAAAACAACCAATCTAGTTTGGTTGGTCCATAGTATGCGTCCAATAATAATGTAATTGGATGGGGCTTGAAAAAAGCTTTCTAACGATATATTATAAGCCCAATTCTGATGAATAATGAGGAAGTTATGGCCAAATTACTAAACTGGGCTTGGTTTGAACCTTAAATGTGGCCCAATGATCTAGAGGAGGGCCTAATATGGACTTATCATTCCTAATGCAATTAGGATTGGTTTTAGTCTTCTAGATTCTTCTAGAAGGTTCTTTTCATTCCTAATTCAATTAGCATTAATAAATTGACTTTTGTTGACTTTTTGGAGTTTTAATTAGAATAAAAGAGTGTTTTTAAGGAAAATGCGATTTTACCCTTTTGTACGGCCAAATTTTATCTGAATTAAGAAAACGCGTGAAAAAATTAATAAGCGCCTGACGCCAGACATTAGCGCCTGGCGCTAATGCCTGGCGCCTGACGCTAGCCTTAGCGCCTGACGCTAATGGTCAACGCCTGACGCTAACTTCTTTTTTCCTCGTCGAAACTCTGATTTGTTTTTCTATCCATTTGACTGATTTTCTCTATAAATAGCCTCCTAAAATCTCCGTTTTTCATCAACAACTCTCTAATTCTCTTCTCTCTCGAAGCTAAAGCTTATTCTTACTCTCTCTCTTTTCTTAACCAACCTTTTTACATACAAAATTCTGCATTCACAAGACCAAGAAACACCTAGCGTTGTTCGAAGTTTCCTTAG